CGCTTGATTGGTTGGTCGGTATACACGACGACTGCATGTGCCAAAAAGTAGGGCTTCAATTTTTTAACAGCCATGAAGAGTGCAAGACCAAATTTCTCCACTAGGGGATACCTCAACTCGGCATTTTTCAGTACGTGACTGACAAAGTAGACCGGGAGCTGACAGCCGTCCCTTTCAGCAAGGAGCACAACGCTTAACGCATGATCAGAGACGACCAGGTACATGTAGAGATCTTCTTTGGGCAAAGGGCTGACCAGCCTCGGCAAGGAATGCAAGTGAACCTTTAATTTCTGGAAGGCGGCCTCAGCATCCGGCCCCCATTCGAACCTTGCCTTTTTCTTAATTGCCTGGAAAAAGTATAGGCATTTGTCGCCTGATCGGCTTAGGAATCTCCCCAAGGCCGCCAGACAACCTGTTAACTTCTGAACCTCTCGGATGGTACGAGGCGACTGCATGTCAATGACCGCCTGCACCTTCTCAGGGTTCGCCTCTATTCCTCTCTGATTGATAAGGAATCCGAGAAATTTCCCAGACTCAACTCCAAATACACATTTCTTGGGATTGAGCATGACATGGTGCCGCCTGAGTGTGGCGAAAGTTTCTCGGAGGTCCGCCAGATGATCTTTCTGAAGTTTAGTCTTGACAATCATATCATCAATATATGCCTCCACGTTTCTCCCAATCTGATCAAAGAACACTGTGTTTATCATTCGTTGGAAGGTAGCCGGGGCATTCTTAAGACCAAACGGCATGACCGTGTAACAGTATAATCCCTGATCAGTGACGAAGGCCGTCTTCTCCTGATCTTTCTTCCATAAAGGAATTTGATGGAAACCAGAATAGGCGTCCATGAAACTCATCAAGGCATGGCCGGCTGTTGAGTCGACCAGGTTATCAATTTTAGGCATAGGGTAACTGTCTTTGGGGCACGCCTTGTTTAAGTCTGTGTAGTCTACACACATTCGCCAGGTGCCATTCGGCTTTTTAACAAGCACCACATTTGCAACCCAATCTGGGAAGTAACATTGTCGAATGAACCCTGCATCAAGTAATTTTTTGACTTCGGCGGCTGCCGCCTGACCTCTTTCTTCACCATGGTTCCGCTTCTTTTGCCGTACCGGCTTCTTTTTCGGATCCACAGCGAGTTTATGTACTGCCAGATCAGGACTAATGCCTGGCATTTCATGGACTTCAAATGCAAAGATGTCCTTGTATTCTTTCAACAGGTTGTGAAAGTCGTCACCAAGGTTTCTCAGAGCAGTCGTCCCAACTTTGACTGTTCGGTCAGGACGTGAGTCGTCTAAGATCAGGTCCGTATGCTCACCAGCCGGCTGAGGGCGGAACTCATCCGGCCGCTCCTCTGCCAATGATTGCTATTTTCTTGCTTTTCTTGCGGACTCTGTCTGGGACGCTTTTCTCTTTTTGTCGCCTGTTTCTTGAACAGGCGCACTCTCCTTGACATTGTCAAGGTCTGTTTTTTCTCCACTTGACCCAGTGGCCATAACAGTGGGCTTGACATCCGAGAGATAGCACTCTCGGGCCATCCTCTGATCTCCCCTTAGGGAGCCGACTGTTCCATTATCCCTCTCAAACTTAAGCAGCATAAGAGACGGGATTATAACAGCCTTGGAATTATTCAGGGTTGGTCGACCCAGAATCATGTTGTAGGCCGAGAGTTCCTCTACTACTAGGAACCGGACTACCATGTGTCGTCCTTCCCCTTTTTCGCCCAGGCGAATGGGTAAATCTACTCGTCCCAGTGGGTGGACGACTCCTCCTCCAAACCCTATTAAAGGATGGGAGGCCGGATGTATGCAGTCCGTCTGATATTTCAGTTTTGACAGACATTTGCTGCTGATGAGATCTGAGGAGCTCCCGGTATCTATGAGGATTCGGCCAACTCTCTGGTTGGCCACTTTACATTCAATAACGAGAGGGTCGTCATGCGGCCCCCTTACCCCTCCTAGATCCTCTTCAGTGATGACAATCTCAGGGAAGGTATATTTTGACGGCCGTTCTTGGTGAACGGAATTCACATCTAACCGCCTTATATTATCCTTATTGCCCCTAATAGTGGGGCCGCCTCCTGAGAAGCCGCCTGCAATGGTGTAGACGACTGCATCATCTGTATCGGAACTGTCGGCCTGTTGATTCTTTTTGGCCGACTGCTTTTTTGAGGAAGTGTTCCCCGTAGATTTCTTGACATAAGTGTCAAGATCACCTTGATCAGCCAAGCGGTCTAGGTACCGCATGAGACTGATGCAGTCATTGGTGTGATGACCAACGTCATCATGATAAGCACAGATTTTATCTTGGTTCCGGTTGTTTGGAGAACCCTTCATGGGGAGCGGCTTCTCAATTGAGAACCGTCCCTTTATTTCTTTTAGGATAAACTGGTTATCCTTGTTAAACACATACTTTGGGGAGTATGGTTTGAATTCTTTCTTCTTTTTCTGAGCCGGCTGTTTAGAGGAATCAGCCGCCCAGACCTCTTTTCTTTTCTCATCTTTGTTGGACGACTGTTTCTGTCGTCCCTCTCTTTTGTCGAACCTCTTCCCGTCCGACTGTTTTATCGTACACAGATCAGTCGCCTGTATATAGGCTTCTGCTTCAATCAAGGCCTCTTGAAGAGTCGCCACCCTTTTTCGAACTAAATCAAATTTGAAGGTAGACCCGTCTTTGAGACCTCTAAAAAAGTCAGTATAAGCTACCTCATCCGGTAACCCTTGAATCTGTATTCTCATCAGGTTGAACCGCCTGATGTAAGAACGAAGCCCCTCCTTCTCGCCCTGCTGAATTGTTCCCAAATCAAGGGTCGTTTTCTTCGCAGGGATGTTCATAGCGAAGTTGGAGGCAAATAAGTAAGCAAGCGTCCTGAAGCTGTTTACACAACCAGTCGGCAGGTTGCCGAACCATTGCTGTGCAATTCCCTTGAGAGTCGCTGGGAAACACTTGCACCAAGTGGGATCATCCAACCCTTGAAGGTACATCAGGTTGGTGAATGCCATCAGATGGTCTTCTGGGTTAGTAGTGCCGTCATAGGCGCCTACTAGAACATTTTTTACTTTGGCCGGCTGAGCGGCTTCAGTAATTTCCTTGGAGAAGGCCGACGGCTGTTCACCAAGTCTAAGCAGCCGTAGCTGCCAGTCCATAGGTTGGACGTTTTTTGCTGCAGGTCCACCAAATGGAGGTGGCTGCATAAAATACTGTTGTTGCGGCACAAATGGTAAGTTTGGTACCGCCTGGGCACTATGAAAGCCGGACTGACGGGAGGTGCCGCCTGACTGACTCTCATGGTACGACTGAGTATGCCTCATCGAGGCATTTCGCAAACTGTCCTGAAAATTTGAAGTAGAAGCCGACTCTGATAATCGGTCACTCTTCTTCTGCTCTAGCAGGAGCCGAGCATCTGTGAACGTTTGCTTTGACCCGTCCGCCTGAATATGACGAACCGGTTTCCTATTTCCCGTAGGATAACGGAGTTTTGTGAAATCAAGAGCAGGTGGCTCCCGCTTCTTGGATTTAGGATGAGGAGTCGCCTCTCGCCCTTGAACTGGCTTCCTCTTCAGTGAAGTGGAAGGTTTCTTGGCCGACTGCTCTTTGACTGAAGCAGGCGGTTTTTTGTTGATCAACTCTTGAATCTCTCCCTTGAAGTCCCTCATGAAGGTCATGAGTTCGTTCCTTGTGATGGGAGCAGACCCATCAGTCGGCTGTTGCCGAGCAGGCGGTGCGCCTGCTGGCTCGCTTCCTGTTTGAAGATGCTCCCGTTCCCTCCTTTCGGTATGACGGGTACGTCGGGCCCTTAGGGTCCCGTCTGGAGCTGTATGAGTTTCAACTTCAAATTCACTTTCGGTATCATGGTCCGACTGAACTTGAGGGTCGTCTAGGGGACGCCTCTCTTCTGGAGTCGGTACAGACTTGGATGCCATCTCTGAAGTACTCTCCCCACAGACGGCGCCAAATGTTTCGGGGTTTTCTGATGTCCTGCGGGAGAGTTACAATTCCGAGACTGGAACCGGACGCCTGTACCTGCAAAATAACGGAGACTCCTGAGAGCTCCGCCTCCAACGGTCAAGTTAGTACCTGATTAAGGAGTAATTAATACGGAAATTAAAGTAATAAGATCTCTCTAGGTGAGAATGCTTAGTGTTGGTAATTTGCGTCGTTAGCGAGATTAGCCGGTTGTTGGTGTTCTGTAATAACTCTGTTCTTCTCTGTTTGATTTCTTGATTTCTCGATTGCTTAACTAATGAGGATTAATTAAGTATTTATAGCCTTGAGAAGCGTGCCACTCTCTAGGTTTAAGGTAAACCTAGGGCTGATCGGGCCTCTAGACTGGATTGGGCCTGGATGGCCGGTTTTCCCATTTGGCATGGGTGGACACGTGGCGTGCCTTGATTGGTCCGTAGAGGACGTATCTGTGATTGACACGTGGCAGACTCCTATTGGCCTTCGTGAAGGACCCGTGGCGGAACCTGGTTGGTCCACTTGTCAGACGGTGATTGGTGGATAAAAATCCCCTAATCACCACTCACTCCTGAAGAAGAGTCGTACAAGAATTTCTTACTGGGTAAATTACAGGGCTTATAAGCATGTTTGGTTGTAGTAGGTGTACGCTTGTATTAGTTAAGTTTTTAATTATGCGCAATGTAGTCTTTTAAGTTTTTAATTATGCGCAATGTAGTCTTTTATGTTTAACATGTAGTCACATTTTTGTCATTGTGTAGTCACATGTTTCTGAATTAACTTTGTCAGTATGCTTTAACTTTAGGTCATTCATACCGACATGGTGTAGTCACTTTTGTTCTGAATTCACTTTGTCAAGATTTGTCATTGTCAACTAGCATAGTATACCTATTCCGTGGCTGAAAATTTGAATGCTTTAGTTGGTGTGGTCATTCAGATTTGTAACCACATATTCATTTGATTTATTTGCTATATATAGTAGGCATGGCACATATCCACAACCACACCAATTCAGAAAATTACAATATTAATACATGATGTATTCCAGACCATCATCAAGTTCAAGTTCAAGTTCATCTTCTTCCAATAATGAAGAATATGATCAACTCGTTGATGAACTCTTCACATACCAACCCACATCTTTCCTCATGCCCCAAACACAATCCCAACGTACTTCAAAATCACGTAGAGGGGGTACGAACAGAAGAGATTGGGAAATGGGACATGCCAGGCTGTTCAATGATTATTTTTCCGATAATCCTGTGTACAATACCACCCAATTTAGAAGAAGATTTCGTATGCAACGACCTTTGTTTTTACGTATAATGAACAAGGTCGTTGAAGGTGATGTTTACTTCCAGCAGCGTAGGGATGCAACTGGAAAGTTAGGCATATCACCTATGCAAAAATGTACAGCCGCGATACGAATGTTAGCCTATGGCATGGTTGCAGACGCTGTTGATGAATACGTTCGAATCAGTCAGTCAACCGCTCGAGTTGCCCTACAACGTTTTTGTGCCGGGGTCATTGACCAGTTCGGAACCGAGTACATGCGAAACCCTACAACTGATGAATTGGCCCGGATACTGCATCAAAATGAACTGCGTGGTTTTCCAGGCATGATAGGCAGCATTGATTGCATGCATTGGGAATGGAAGAACTGTCCAACGGCTTGGAAAGCGCAGTACGCCGGTAGGAACAAGAAAGCAACGCTAATACTGGAAGCCGTTGCGGATCAGGATTTATGGATATGGCATTCCTTCTTTGGTATTCCCGGATCTTGTAATGATCTTAATGTGTTGTACCGTTCACCAGTGTTCGATGAGGTTCTGCATGGTCGAGCTCCTCCGGTAAATTTTACGGTTAACGGCCATGAATACAACATGGCTTATTATTTAGCCGACGACATTTATCCGAAGTGGGCAACTTTTGTTCAGGGTATCACATTCCCTCAACTGGCCAAAGATAAAATGTTCGCTGACCACCAGGCTGCCGCTCGAAAGGACGTTGAAAGAGCTTTCGGTGTGTTGCAAGCTCGATTTGCAATAATACGAAAACCGTCGCTGGCGTACGATGAGGACATACTGCGGGACATAATGAAAGCATGTATCATTATGCACAACATGATTGTTGAAGATGAGCGCCACAACTACACTCGAGCCGAAGTTCTAAGAGCCTTCTACGAAGAAGATCAACAAGAATCAACACCAGCATCAACATCTACAACGCCACCGTTTGAATTCAACGTAGGCCGACCTACCAACTTTGATTTCAACGCATTTCTACAGCGAAAAGCTTCCCTCCGTGACAGAGAAATTCATCTATCTCTGAAACGTGATTTAGTCGAACATATTTGGCAACACTACGGGCCACGTAATTAGGGAGAAATTAGCACGACTTAAATAAAGCCAAGTACTATGGCGTAGCTACTTTTACTTGTTGTGTTTATTTTATTTCCTAAGTTTAATTACGCATGACGTTGCAAATGTAATTGGTTTCTAGTATTGTACCGCTTTTAAAATAAATAAAAACATTTAAGAAATTTTGAGCTTTTTTTAAATTTTTTTTTATATAACGTACTTAATTTTACGACAAATTTTAACGATAAAAAGGACAAAAATAAAAAAAATAAGTTACACAAATTTTAACTAGTTTTTATTTATTTGGAGTAACATTGTTAAAATATAAATGAAATAAATAAATAAAGAAGTGTTGTGTAGGAGAGAGAAAGTAATGGTGGGGTATTGAAAAAGTAAGAGAGAGAGAGTGGTGGGTGGGCAATTTTTTTGCTCACCATTGGGAGAGAATATGTGAAAAAAATTTGCCCATGAGCAAAACTTATTTCTTGAGAGAGAAAGTGGATAGAGAGAGAGTGGGTGAGAGTGGTCTAAGTTCTCTGAAATTGACAAGGAAGCAACTTGTATTTTTTCAATATAGGAAGGAGAGTGAAGCAAACAATCTTCCCCTAAAAAAAAGCAACAATGGCAACGACTCTTGCTAAACTCAGAGCCGGCGTTCAGTCCGCCATCCGCCGCGCCCGTTCCTCCGATCACATCAAACGCTCCTTCTCTTCTTCCGCCCACAATGACGTTGCTTGTAACTTTCTCTCTTCCCTTCCTTCTACAAATTTCACCTTCAAATTCGCCATTTTTTTTTGCTTTGTTTTGAATACCATTTTCTGATATTTATACATTTAAATCGCAATTTTTATTTATTTATTTATTTTTTATTTTTACGGGTGGTTACTCAATTTATTCAAGTCTGCTTTCATTATTCTTTAGGCTAACTTAGCTTAAGCATTTAAGCTTTATAATTTCAATAGAATTGGGGGTTTTAATTAAATTTCGTTTGTATAATATGTTTCATGGAAAAAAAAAAGAAGTGTTGATCATCTTTGTTTTATTTTTAATTTTATTGAATAAGAGGCTATAGAAGCATTGAAATGGGAGAAAATTACTTATCTTGGTATAATTAGTTGTACAAACATGGCAATGACTTCAGGTCTTCTAAGATTTTAGTTAACTTTTGAACTGTGGTGATCTTAGTTTTTTAGCTTGACTTTCGCGAAGCCGAATATCTCTTAGACTGGATTTCACTAATGTAGTAATGTATCCTTTGATTGACTGAAAAAATTGTGTGAGCTAATCTGATAAAAAAAATAAAAATAATGTTCTTCGTAATAAAAACACAACCATCTTACATAAGGTGCCTAAAGCAGTCCCTTTTCAGTCCATTTGCAGAGAATTAAACGCCTTTTTTAGGTTGTCGGGGAAATAATTCGAGGTTTAAGGGAAGGACGAGGGTGGAAAACAGATGGTTTCATGGGAACTACCTTTTGCTATGGCAAGGCTAATTCATCTAAAATGTTGCAACCTCAACCATCATTTTTCCATCACTATATCGTAGCATATCTCAAGCAATTGAATTTGATTTGATGAGTTTGTTAACAAATTTAAAGACTGGTGTAAATGTTTAAGCTTAGTAAGGTTTGGAACCCAGTTTAAATTTTCCTAGCCAACCTGGCTTCCAATATATTTGTATTTATGTGGCTACATCTTTTAGCTTTTTGAGTAGGGCTTTGCATTCTCTTTTATTTTTTTAGTGCAAGAGGTTATTGGTATGCTTCTATGAGTTCCATCTCCTTTAGCTTACAATAGATTTGCATTGGTGTTGTAGGCGATTGAACATGGCTCTAAGACACTTTGCTATTCCTAAAAAAAAAAAAGAAGTAATCACTTTGCTATTAAAGAAATTGAATGCGCAATTGTACTTTATAACCTTACCATTATTTTGTAGTCCTTTTTTGTTTATTATTTTTAAAATTTGGTTTTTCAGTTTCATTTATACTCTACCCCGCTACATTATTTTTTGTGTGGGTATGTGAAAGAGTCCTTGATAAAATAAAAAGAAGCATTTTGAAGGGGGTAAAAAAATATGCGATGATTATTTTAGAAAGTTGATAGGAATGATTTAAGAAGTATACAATATACCTAAAGAATATGAGCATCAAAATTTAAGAATGGGATAATGCTTAAGATTAAATGAAATTTGGAAAAGAGAAAAACAAGAGATCTTAAGATTAGTTATAATTTGTTTACTTTGATTTATGGGTTAATTATTATAATATTTTTAGTTAAAATTGATCTACATATATCTTATGCTCCGATTTATGGATTAATTGTAAGTTGTTTCCTTTATGCATGTTTGTGTGAAGGTTCATCTACGGATACCAATTGGGTAAGGTTCTTCAAGCTCAATTTTTAGATAATTATGATTGTTTGATATATTTTTTAGATAATTATACTCAAATTCAACTAAAGATAGATTTACAATCATAAATTACAGGAGTTATAATAAATTCTCATGGTAATAGTTATAAATTATAAGTTTGCACTTAAATTCTATAATTTTTATCTAGAATTTTTCTATTTTACATTTTTACTACCCTTATGGTAATGAGAATGTTTATTCCTTTATATATATATATATATATAACTCTTTAAATTCAACTTACTTAAACGAGTGCAAAGAGAAGCTTTTAATTGGGAACGGAGGGGGTAATGCACTAATGTCTGATTTCAAACTAATTGGCATGGAGGGTGAATACAAACAATGTTAATGTTATCTAGTTGTCATGTTCTCTATCAAGATCTAAATAACTCCAAGATATATTACCTATAAAATAACAGGCTAGACGAGATTTTATTATAGTGTGGGTGCCTAAATAATACTTCCTCCGTTTTTTAATAATTGCAACACTTCCCTAAAATGGAAATATCACAATACTTGCAACACACTATAATTGGAAAGTTATATTAGAGAAAATATGTACTATTTCCCTTATTTAAAGCACATGGCCCACTAAATTACACTCCTAACATCCACTTACGTCATTTTTAAAGTGTATTATATCATGTGAACCCCACATTTCTTAAATACCGTGAAAAAGTGTGTTTTGCAACTATTTAAAAACGGAGGAAATATGGTGTTGTATCTGAATATTTATGAAGTTTAGGAGATGTAAAAAGCTTTTTTCTTTTATTTTAATGAGTGCAATAGCTTTCTTTTGTGATTATATATTTTCTTTTTCTTTTTTTTTTTTTGAAAGGATGATTATATATTTTCTTTCAAATTTACATCTTAGACACAATTTCTGGTAGAATATCAATTTTACTGTGATTATCTGTATGTTGAATAGGATGTTGGTTTCATTGGAATGGGAAATATGGGATCGCACATGGCTATGAACCTTTTCAAATCAGGATTCAGAGTTTCTGTCCATGATGTGTAAGTGTCTGTGATTGTGTCTGTGTTTTCCTTCTTGGCTGCGTGAAGTGTTGCTCAAAACTTGCAATCATAGATTGGCATGATAACATGACCTTAACGCGGTATGAAGTGGCTGAGAGATCCTGAAAACCTAACACAGCATTAACACAAATCAAATTAAACCAGAAATAATTGATACATTCATTATACTACCTCCGTTTCATATTATTTGCGACTTTGGTGTATTATAAAAAATTCTAAAGTTGCAAATAATGTTAAACGGAGGTCGTATTATACATTTTAAATTACCTTCTGTTTCATACATCAACACAATATAATATACACTAACACAACCTCTTACCTCAATTGCTGGCTCTAACTTTGTCACTATCTTTGTTTTATGTAACCAAAGAAAACTTCCTTTTGATGTGCTAGTAAATACCTCCACTTTATAAATAAATTGATTTTGCAGGATATAGTTATAATTTTGTTACTGGAATGGTTGACTTGGTCTGTTCTCTTTTCAGCTCATTTCAGTTCAGCTCAGCTCCAATCAGTTTAGTATCTAATTTCCTTCTCTCATAAAATATTCAATTCATTTCAGCTCAAATTAGTTCATCTCACCTCACCTCAGTTCAACTAATCAGAACACACCCTAATATTTCTGGATAAGAGTGTTTTATGTGATATAGTTACATAGTGAAGTACCGAAACTATCAATTTGAGGCACCTTGTTGAATACTTAATGTAAAGAACCAAATGTATAGAGAAACATATGTTGATATCTGTACTTATTTTGTTAGCATTCTTGTATATAGCAATCGAGCTGCAGTTCAGCCATTCTTGGATAGGGGAGTTCCTGTGAAGGAAACACCTATGGAAATTGCAGAAACAAGTGATGTTGTAATTACGATGCTTCCTTCATCCGCTCATGTGAGTGACTACTAACTAGTGTGTGACCTGTTATTATGAGTGTTTTTTATTCTTCTCTAATACAATTTTTTCTGGCGAACAAGTAGGGATTATATAATACTAGGCTTAAGGTAGTTGCTAATGACTATAGATTAGACTATTAGAGTACATGATTCTTAATTGTTTCACTTGCATGACACTTCAAACTGCTCTTCCCCATCTCAATTTTCAAAGGTTGCTTGTGTTGCTCTCGCTGCTTCCACGGAAAACTGCTTTTCTTTATTTCCTGTGGCTTCTAAGATATTTTTTCTCTAGCCTTTTTGTTGGAGGCCAAACTCGATACGAACTGTCTACATGAGGGTTCCCTCAACAGTTAGGTGCTAGTTCAAGGTTAGAATTTTAGTTCAACCTGAGTGGTAGAGAGCTATATCATATGATCAAATCTTACTAATTTATTGTTCACAATTTAATCACTATTCAAGTATTAGTAAAGGATCCATTTAAATTAAGGAATCTTTTCTGATTGCTATTTTGTGATATACTCTTTTTTATGACCAGATCATATTTAAAAACAATTGGATGAAGAAAAAAAAAAAAAATCAAAAAATGGAAAATTTTGTAACTTTGAGCATTCTGACAGATTTGCCCAATACTCAAAGTATGCATACTATAGGAATCACACATGGAAAGTGTGGAAGTTTTAGAGTAAAGTTGTGAAAGTCATTTTAGTCATATAAACTCATAGAGAAGGATCCTTATAATATCAGTGTTACAAGGGACAAGTCTGACCCACGAATCGTGAATGTGGTTTGTTCGTTCTGGAGCGTGGAACAGACGCGACTCAGAGTGATGGAGGTTTTGGCCCAAGTTGTGGAAATGACAACCTAATTTCAAAGTTTAAGTTTATGTTTTAGTGATTTCAAAGCTTTTGAGAAGGGAAGATTGAAGACGGGCCAAGCCATTCAACATTATAGAGGAGTGAGAAATAAGAAAATTGAATAAGAATAATTTTGGGCTTAAATTTTAGACCCCCACATGCTATTATCTTTCTTTTATTAATAATTTATTTGGACCCACATTTTGTTATCTGCCTTTTATTTTTTAATGACTCTTTTTATTATACAATATATAAGAGTTTTTTTTTATTTATTTATTTTTTATTTTATTTTATTTTATTTTTTATTTTTTATTTATTTTTTATTTTATTATTTTATTTATTTTTTATTTTATTTATTTATTTATTTATTTATTTATTTATTTTCCAGTCATTATATTAGGTATTGCATCTTTTATAATACTTAGTTACTTCGTATATACTTGTTTATATATATTGATGGGTTATTTTACTTCATTCAAACTTTAGTTACTACAATGAAAATATGGGAGTATTTTTGAGAGAAATTAAACCCAATGTACTAGATTCAACAAGGTATTGTTCTGTGTATCCGTTTTTGTACCCTGTTTTGAATCTAACCCTGTCCCATGTAATCTTGCTTTATATTAATTCATATACTTACTTAGAAGGCAAAAAAAATTCTTTGTTAATTATCTTGTTGATTTCAAAGATATTTGATGTCTTTTTTCATCGTAGCCATTCTTTTACAAAATACTATGAATCATTTTTAACTGAAGTTTTGATTTAATGCTGGAGGCCCTGAAGCCGATGTTACTTTTTTGACAATGGATTTATTTAGCAATGTAGTTAGTCCTCACTTGCATGTCCCTTCTTTTAGACCACTTTATTGCAGAATTCCTTTCAAAAATTTCTTAAAATATAATTCTGGAAATAGCCTTTAAAGTGTTGTCACTTAGAATAATACTAGTTTTTATTTTTATTTGTTTTCATGAAATGAGTCAAGAATCAAGGTATCATGAAAGAACAGAGTACATTCGTCCTTAAAGACACATACCAAATGAAACAAAGACTAGTTATACCTTCTATTAAAACCTTCCCAAACAGCCATATCATCATATTTAGCATTGCTAATTACATTGCCATATATTCAAAAACTTCGGAGGTGTGGGAACTTTTGCTTTCCTCAAAAATTGTTGCTAGCTTGCCAAATGTAGCATGTCAATGCAGCCACCATTTTAAGTTTGCAGAGAAACTTTTTCATCATCACCCTGTATAAGTTTTGCGAAAGCTAAGACAAATTGTGCCTGTCTTGGTCTGAAAGATCAACAGAATATTTCCAACTAAAATCAGGAAGTGAGAGTGGATCTCAAGGCGTTAGCCTAAGGAAAGGTACACATTTTTTGCTGCAGAGTAAAATCCCTTATACGGAGTAAAATATTAATTTATCTCACCTGTATGATGGGTTGAATGGCTTTCAATTAATGCTTAATTCATTTTGGAAATCATCATCACAATTTGAGAAATATTTTAGTTTGTTTTCATTTTTATAAGTCAACCCATCTGTGTTCGTGCTATATCATGACTCTGATTTCACTAAGTTTTTGACGCTATAAATTCCTTCTTGCTCTAAAATGTAGCAAGATTTTTGTTATTCCAAATCTCCAACTTTTATGTGTGTCCAAATAATCTTTATGTGCATACAATGGGAAATTTATCGAGGTTATTCTATATTTCTATGCCTTGTTCAGGTTATGGATGTTTATACAGGGCCAAATGGCTTGCTTCATAGTAGCAGTTCTGTACGACCTTGGTTGTTTATTGATTCCTCTACAATTGATCCGCTGACGTCAAGAAAACTCTCCCTGTCTGTTTCTGGCTGTGCCTTGAAGGAAAAGCTAGGTACATTAAGTTAAACTGTTATAAAATTCTTAAAAAACATTTTGTATAAACTTGTGTAGATAGACAGGGTTTTGACGACTTAATGAAAAAACATTCAGGTCTTGGGATTTGGGTCGACCTGTTTTGTTTCTTAGTTATCTTCTATGACTCATACATCTTCAGTCTTGCGCTTTATCCCTTAACTCTTTATTCTCCTATTTTTTCTTTGGGGGTGGACCATCAAAAGGGGAGGGTGGGGGGGGGGGGGAATGGTTTCTGACTTTCAGAATATTATGTAGTATCTGTTTTTTCCCTTTTAAAGGTTTAAGTCAAATATCAAGGATAAAAGCATTCCCCCTTTATTTTCATTCTCTTATAGTCACTTAACTTGTACCTTTTCTGTATTCCTCCTTCATTTAAGAGGGAGAAGATTTAAAGTAGGTGAAGACTTTTTTGTATGTCTTTTTTTTGGGAGAAGCTCCATACATGTGACTTGTGAGCCATGCACAAAATAGGAAACACACATAGTATAAATAGTAAAGTACGGGAGCATCAATTAAAAGTTACGAATATGTTAATAAAACCGTTCTTAGTTGTAATTGTAGAAAAACAAAATGTTTCCCTTACTTTTTTCATCATACAATGCTCTTTTTACTCACCCTTTACCTTCCTTTGGTATTATACATAAGGTAGCTGCAGCAAAGCACTAAGCAATACTTAGTTTGTCAGTGTCATAATATCATCCTATTACTGTTTGTAATACTATCTTTTTCATGTTTTGTTTTTATCTTTATATTATACTCTAAATTATCAAAAAAAAAAAGAAAAAAAAATCTTGAGAGACACCTAATGCTTCTCTCTCATCCATTGTAAATCCATTGATGAAAAGAGCTGATAAACCACTAAAATCTCTTCTCTTTTATTGTCAAAAGTTCCAAGGTTTCATTTTAATTCCTCTCTAATTAAAGTATCAATTTATGCTGGAACCACACCACACTGCTGTCAAAACATCTTCCCAAAGAGTATTCTGTTTCCATCTCTTTATTTAATCCCAGGTAGATCGTAATTAATGGTGAGACTTCTGAACATCCAAAAAGACCAAAAAACTCCCATGCTATTTCTCCTTTTGACAACCAACCAAAGCAGCATGGTAGATACATGTAATGATAATGATTAAATTCAAACAAATAATTTCTGAATGTAACAATATTTGTTTGTTTTTGATCTCCATCACATCTGCATGAATATGGTGTATTCTTGTATTGAAGCTGCTCTTATGTAACTATAACCTTAGGAAAATTTAGCTTTATCATTGGCTATCTTGGCATACTTCCATGCAACAGCTTCCTCATATCTTGCTGCCCTTGATTTTTTGCAGTAGAGATCTCACTGTTCATTGTTGAAATTCTTTTTATGTTATCTGTAATTAAGAGAGATTTTATATAAAGGAAGTAAGGGCCTGTTCAGCTTAATTTCATTTCAGTTTAGTTCAGCTCAGCTCCAATTAGTTTAGTCTAGTTCAGTTCCCAATTCTCTCTCATAAACAATTCATTTCGACTCTATTCAGTTTAGTTCAGTTGTTTTTAGTAAATCAGAACAGGCCCTATCTTCAGATCATCTATAATTTGTTGGGTCAATTAGGCTTTTGGACTTTTGTTGCTCTATGTAGTGTTCTCAGAGTGATACTAATTCCGTTCATTTTATTTTGGAATAAAATGACATGTTCTGCCTGGCTAATGTATTATGCAATTACGCTGATAAGTTTAGCTTATTCTATTTATAGGCAATAGAAAAGTTGAGCTTATAGTCAAAGACTATAAACTCCAGATAAATTTATTCAATTTGGTATAAGATGTTGCCAATCTATATAGGTGGCTTACTTTTCCTTATTACTTCTGTTTGGATGTTTGTACTTCTGTGTTCTTGTGTCTGGTTGTTGTAATTCCTTCAAATTATTGTAGGTTGCCAGGAGAAGCCATTTATGTTAGATGCTCCTGTTTCTGGTGGTATACTTGCTGCAGAAGCTGGATCATTGACCTTCATGGTAAATTTTTTTCCTACCAACATGTGTGCTTCATTTGCTATGAGCCTATGAGTGCTGCTGAAAATCTTGGTAAAAAAGCTATTATGGCCTCATGATTGGGCCTTACTTTTGGTCCTTGAATAGTTAAATCTCTTTTAATGTCCTGGACCCGAGAACATGATCTTGTTTTATTGTCCAATGTTTTTCAATCCGCTATCTGGTAAAGGTTTTGGTTATTAGTTCATGTGGCATCATTCTTCCCTGTGTGGTCTATCCTTACTACCGATTAAGGCTTATGTTCTTGTGTAGGGGTTCAGGGTTGGGGGATGATGTGTTTCTTTCCCATCTCCTGCTTAAGGAGTTAAGGCAATAATTAGGGTGTTTTTCTTTTGAACAATATGTATAGTAGAAGCCTTAAGGCTCAAAATCTTACTTTCAACATATAGTAATAGAAGACAAGATTAAATCAAACATATATACGAGTAGTAAACATGGAGCCTGAATATCACGCTTAGCTACAATTAGATCTTGCTGACAAGCTTCTTGCATGCATATTGATAAGTTTTTAAAACAGTACATAATGAGCAAGGAAAGGATTAAGTTTGAACTGTTAAAAAAAAGTTTTTATTTTGTTCACATTAGGTGCATGTTTGGTATGAATTGTGCAAAGAGAATAGTGAGGGGTAGGGCAATGTTAACTGCTACCAATATTAGCTATTTGATACAATTAAGGAAAGGAATTCCTTGTATCATATTGGTGATTGATGAGGCTAGCAATTTTGTTTGGACGAGTAATTGTGGTTGGTTTTTGTTGCCCTTGTATCAAAGTGTGTTACCCCGCCTCTTGCCATTTCCATCACTTATAACACTATACCAAAAATGTTCTATGTCACAAGTCTATTTCCTTCATAATTTATTTTAGCAGCTTCAGCGATTGGTTTATTCCACTCACGAGCTATAAAAAGCTTTCATTTTCTTGGTTAACTTATTGATGATTTTTTCTTTCATTATATTGACGTAGTATAAAAAATGGATTCAGGTAGGAGGCACTAAGGAAGCCTACCTGGCAGCAGAACCATTGTTTCATTCCATGGGCAGAGCCTCAATCTATTGTGGTGGAGCAGGAAATGGTTCAGTAGGTTCTTCCTTTTATAAGCTCTTCTCCATTAGTCTATTTTTTATTGGCACAGTGTCTCCTTCTTTCTTTGGAGTATCTCTTTGATCTTCGTTATGCTCATATTTAGGGACTAAAAAATTTATGTGTAATGTGGTATTTAGATCGTCTCGTAAATTGTTTAATTTTTGTGACAAAATAAATTATTTTGAAATAAACCCTTCTAAATAACTATGTTTTATGTGCTAGAGTAATCTTTCACTGATCAGTTGCTCACTATTTGTTTTCACGCCTTCAACAAGTACTTATGAGACTGATTTGAAAGATGATGCATAATGGGGATGACACCATAGTTAGAACTGTCTTTGGTGATTTTGTCTATCATTCTGATTTCATTAAACTATTTCTATCTTATAAAAACTTATTTGTATCCTTTTTAAATTAAACTTTGTTTGCAAACTCTATTTTGGATGATTTGTACATGCCTTATGCTCTCTCGAGTATGGCAAAACACTTCTTGCACTTCTGCTTTATTATACATTGTCATTTTAAATCCAAAATTATCTGATAAAATTCTGGGGTGTTACACTGTAATGTAATGCACCATCCTCTACTTAACCCACATGTGAGAATGATATATGCCAGGCGTAAGAAGGAAAGTTTTTAGATTGCAGCAAAAAGTGTCAGCAAAATTTATTCGAGAAGGATGCCTTGGGCAAGGAGTGAGGAATTACAATTATTTGAGGGGAGTATACTGAATTGTCTGAGTTGGTCCTATAAATGAGGAAGTTGTTGGAAAACGTAATATTGACTATTAAGTGTTCCGTATTTTCATTCTCTCTTCATAAGTCGTGTTCATCATTGGTGATTTCATAATATCAATTAATAGATCTATCAGTTCCCACTACAGCGTTACTCTTTTTCTGCTTAAAACAGTGTTCTTACACAATATATATATATATAAAAAATATTAATCCCATTTCATAATAGACAACTTTCTCTTGGATGCATATAGGTCGCAAAGATATGCAATAACCTCGCAATGGCTATTAGCATGATTGGAGTGTCAGAAGCCCTCACCATTGGTCAGTCTCAGGGAATTGCTGCGAGTACACTGTCGAGTATATTCAACTGTTCAAGTGCTCGTTGCTGGAGCAGGTATTAAATCTCTCTTGAATGTGTTTTTGTAATGGGTATTAACAAGTATTGGTCTATTATAAATATCTCTTGATTGTTTGTGTTGTATCTTCTTTTTTATTTTTCAATTGCAGGAAGAAAAATAGCCAATATAGGATTTTTCCAATTGATGTTTAAAAGAATTAACAATTATTTTATTTCTTGTTACTGCATTGTGTAAAAGTAAGACCCTCAACTTCAGAGTTACCACTATTATTTTATTTATTTATTTTCCAATCATTTGAGCAGTGAGCACTATAATGACTAGACAAATTACTGTCTGAATCCTTCATCTTATGTCAATGGACCGATGCTTCAGAACTATGTTAGTGCAAGGTAATTCAGAGGTAGACTTGCATGCGAACTACTGAAGTTTTCTGCACCTCCCAGTGGGCAACTCTTTTGGTTGGTGATTGAAAAAGGTGTGGTCTGAAAGATAAAAAAAATATCATTTCGTTTCCGGTTGTGGCACAGATTGTCCCTTGTGATCTTTCTAGGCAGCAGCTCCACACGCTTCAAGAAAAAATGTCTGGCATATCATGGAATTGCCACATTAAATCCAGATTGAAGGATGCCCCTCCAACTTTCCTAGCCCTTAGCTGATTGCAGTGTCATAATTGCCACATCAAATCCAGATTGAAGAATGCCCCTCCAACATTCCTAGACTCCTAGTCCTTAGCTAATTGCAGTGTCATAATTGCCGTGTCATTGTGCCTACTTGTTTTTTACATCCTGGGTCTGCCTTCTCTCAAGGTTTCCATACCCACTATGCCAGCACTCTCTCAGCCATATCCTCCACTGCGCCATAGTGTCTAAATCTAGCCTAGGGATAGCCGTTTGGAGATGTGAGAGCTACCAATAAATTCTTTCTTGATCCTCATGCTTAACTAATAACTATTGAGGGGCCATTTGGTTTGGGTTTTTCGTGAAAGGGAAAGAAACTTGTCCCTTCCTTAATCCATACTGAATTCTTTCAATTCCTCAAATCCCTCTGCACTCATCAGCATTCACATTTTAGATAGTGCACACGAGGGTACCATGTGCTTGGAGCTCTCGCCTCAAAACGTTAATTATTATTATTATTATTATTATTATTATTTTTGAATAATATAGGATTCTAGTGAACATAAAGCCTATGAAGCCTATATGACACACTCAATTATTCATTTGGGTATGCTATTGGGATTCTAAGGTAGAAGAAGGTTTGATACTAATTTTGTGTGTTAAACACCATAAAATTTGTGACGATGGTGCGATTCCTTTAAGTAAAAAACGAGGAACACAAGCTTCATTAAAAGAAAAGGGTAGTTGCATAATTGAAATATATGTTGATCATATTTGTTCTTTCTCATCAGTACAACCACAAGCCATGTATAATTTTCAAATCCCCCAATGTTATCTTTGTTAGACTTAGATAAACTATCTATGTGCATGAAATATAATATATGAACAGTTCTTGTTTATGAGGAACTATCTATTTTGCAATTTTTTTTCTTTTATTAGTACAAGGTTTAATCCTATCTTTATTTTCTTCATCTCTTTTCCTTAGAAAACACTCATGCCAGTAAGACAACTTTCAAACAATACAAGTATAAATTATAGTCAAAATACCTTTTTCCATTAAATTCAGGTAGATCGGGACTCAATATCTCTTTCTTTCTCTTTTTTTTTTCCTGAATTCTCCTCAACTAGATTCACTAGTGGCCATAATTTTCGACTTTCCAACTTCTCTATGTGTGCTTTGCATGGTTATGAGAAAACTGTGTCTGTTCCATCGTAGTGCCAATTATTTGGTTATAGAAATAATTGGTATCAGCCATTCATCATCTCTATTCTCACTATTGTTTTAAATTGAATTCTACGGAACGAAACATAGTTCTTGATGTCTTAATAAGAAATTCTATAGCATCAAGCTTCTCTTATACTTTGAATAGATTTTTACCAATAATGGATCAACAGGGTGTTTTAGGTGTTTTTTGGTCCCTCGGGAGAGTTATGGCACCAAGACTGGTCCGACATGATTTGTACCTCAAAAAAACAAGGAGCTCCTCCTTCGACGATCAAGTTAATATTGGTCGTAGAAGATGAAAAGGTGCGGAAAAGGTAAAAGTGAGATCTTCTCGGATTCCGAGATCAGGTGTTTTCTCTGATGTGAGAAAATGTAGGGTTGTTGTAATAAATGAATTTGTCCCCAAAATAGGGGGAAAATCTCCCTATTTATTGGGTCGTTGGGAAATGTTTTGCGGCGTTCTTGGAAATTAGGCCTTGAAGGGCGCCATTCTATTTGTTATGTGAGGCTGACACGTTAGACCCATCCAAGATTGACACGTGTCCCTCTCTGATTGGACCACGTGTCTAGGGTATTTTTACCCTAAACACCAGGTATATCCCTTCCATGCCTTTATCTGCTAGACCTTTGCAGACCCACAAATTAGATTTCCGGAAGCAGATAACACATCTTGCAGAGGTGTACAGTGCATGAATGCATTGCCTTGCAGAAGTCCTACATTTGGCAGTACTTATATTATACTAGATGAAGCCCGTGCGATGCACGATTTGTTTGAATTTTTAAAAATTATATATATATATATATATATATATATATATATATATATATATATATATATATGTGCTAAAATTTGTTATATATTGAGATAAAATTCCTGATATCAAAAGATAATATTTTATATTTAATTAGTTTAAACTGGATAATCTCATTTGCCAATTTTGCTTACATGCCACTTAAATTATTTAAGTCTAAAATAAATTAATAATCTAGTATTTAATTGACTACCATTGAAATTTATTATCCTACGTGGCGCGCTGAAAAAATTAAATCCTACGTGGCTCTCTAAAAATTCGAGAAAAAACTCCTCTTTATATATACATATTAGATTCTCTGCACGAGCACACTACTCTCACCTTGTTGTTGTCTTTCATGTTATCTTAGTTGTCAAATTTAGTTTTTAAAGAAGTGGACATGGTGTAAGTGGGGTTTCATATTTCTTAATGGCTTCTACGTATGAATATAGAAGAGTAATATTTACTTGGCTTTGTTGAGTAAGTCATTAAGTTTCTAATTACTTTGTGAGAAATATTGCAACTTTGTGAGAAATATTTTTCCTTTCTGGTAATCCCTGGAACTTTTTGATTAAAATACTTCAATAATTTTCTTATATGAATCATAGTATATTTTGAGCTTCTGTTTTTGTTTTTTCATGTGTGATGTTTTTTGTAATTAGCTATGGATTGATGCTTAGTTTTGTAATATGAATTCATGTTTCCATTTATTTCCGATTCTTTCAAGCATCTTCAAACCCCATAATGTTAGTTTCAATTGTAATCCTAAGTTTAAATTGGCAAAAAACATGTCTTCACATACAATATGGCTAACATGGGCTATTTACAGTGATACTTACAACCCAGTGCCCGGGGTGATGGATGGGGTACCTTCGTCGAGAAATTATCAAGGGGGTTTTGCATCTAAGCTCATGGTATGTAGATATAGATAAGCTAATTGTTCTACTTTACGTTTTCAATCTTTGATCATGTTCTTTGTTCTTATTGAGCGATCCATATGATTTGCATGTGCAAAAATTAACTTGTGCACAATCATTGACCAAATGGACTTGCTATTGAATCCATAATTATTTTATAGATTGCTTAAAGATGTGGTAAAATTTTGACTATTATTGTAGGCAAAGGACTTGGATCTTGCTGCTGTTTCAGCAAAAGAGGCAGGTGTCAAACATCCATTGACTATCCAAGCACAAGAAATGTATGTCTTATTATATCTTGTGTTAGCTTCAGTTCTTATGTTGCTCATATGACGAAAGCAGTGATCAAGTTCTTAGTTTGCAATATGATTTTGGTTTTGCTGGATCTTCCGTTTATATTTCTAACTATGAATATCTAAAACGTGCTATTTTCTCTGCATAAAAAACCATAAAATAATTCTATTCCATAGTTATATTTCTGGTCTTTTTTCTGCTCTCTTAGTAAGATATTTTTCTTTCAAGACACTATTTCAGAGATGACTGGCCCCAGAAAAAGCTGCCCTTAAGGCGTCACATTCTTTAATGTGAGCTATGGTTCTCCTTTTTAGGTGGTCATGAACATTTTTAATTTGATTTATATCCTGAAGTGGAGAAAGAATTGTAAAGGTGAAAGTAGTGCGAGTATTCTTTGTGTATGTTTTGTGTAATTCATGGGATTAATGATCAGTTAGAAAAAAAGCTTTTTTCTAAATCTTCACTGCCTTAATGATATCTTTCTTCTTACCCAGCAGTTTATTAGTCCCTGTCTTTACGTATATCATTTGCCTTTATGTAGTTTTAAGATGGCCATGCTAAATTTTTGAAGTAATTATTTCTTGGATAGGTGCTATGCTTGTTAGAGATACATTTGTTTTTATTTAGACAGGATCTGTACCATGAATATATTCCTTGGTCTCTTAGGCCATGTTCACTTCACATTATTTTTACGGAACTGAAATTATTTTTATAGAACTGAAATTATTTTTGCTGAACTAAATTTTTTTTTTTTTTTTTTTTACTGATTTTCTATTATATTTTTTCTCTAAGTTTACTGATTTGAAGTGAAATTATTTTTGCTGAACTAAACTTATTTTTACTGAACTGAAATTAATTTTATAGAATAGAAATTAATTTTATTGAATATTATTCTTTTAAGGTGAATCTGTAAAGTGAATAGGGCCTTACTCTATAGTATTTTTAGTTTTTATCTGTTTATTTCAACTTTCCAGTTAGCAATGTCTTCATTTTGTGCTCGCTTACATAAGCACCCAATGGACTCTAAACTGATTTTTAAATACTAAGTTTTATATACCTACTTCTTTCATGTTTGAAGTTCTGGCAATCCATAACAAAAAAAGTAAAATCTGAATGATTCAGTTTTATTTTGGTACAGATTCATTCATGTAATGCCCATGGCAGAGCTATTATAAGTTGTTTTTGCCTCTTTTCTCCTGGCTCTGTTATATACAGTAATATTTAGATATGCTTCCTGAATCCTGATGTCCTTAAGCACAAGCCACTTTAGTAAGATGAACTTTACTATTAGCAGATTCATCATGGTTAGTCCCTTTTTGGATGGTATTTTGTTATAGTGGTTTCAACAATTTGTCTTTGGTCATTTATTGATATATCAACTAAGGAGGTGATTGATGAAAAACACAACGATGATTCTTTGATTCACATGCTTGTAATGTATCTTTTCTTTCTTTAGATACTTATGGTTTTGGAGTAATTGGCCAGTTGGTGTGCTTATTTAAGATATCCTGCTTCTGTAATGCTGATATATTTTTCTTTTGTTTTTCCAGATACCATGAACTGTGCAGTGAGAACAATTCTGCTAAAGATTTCTCCTGCGTCTTCCGCCATTATTATGGTGGAAAGGATGAACCAGTCAAGGAGTAGCCTTAAGTCTGAATCTGTTGGTGATTATTTGTATCACATGTCAGTAAATTTGCTCAGAATTTTAAGTACAGTACTTTTCTCACCTATGGTTATGTGTATAAACTAGAGCAGACTTCAAAACTTTCCAACAATTAAACGATATATTATTACTCTAGAATCAATGTATAGCCTAAATCTTGCTTTGTAACTTTTGATCCTGAACTCATATATTAGGTTAGGGCATATAATTTATTTTTGGGAAGCTCTAAAGTCTGCGTCCAATACAATTAGAATTGAATCATTGTCGTTTGTAAATATTAAGATACGTTCAAAATAGCTCAAGATTGTCAGTTTTTGGGTTTGGTTGTAGTGTTTTACTCAATATCTCATTACTTAAAATTTGGTATTGAATTGATGTATTGTCGTAGGGTTTATTTAAAGGGTTATAAGGTAATCCAACTATAAAGCTTATTTCAAGGGTTATTTAAAGGTTTGCAAATTGCAAACCAAGTGTGCGTGGTTTTGAGGTAATGAGAAATAAGACAATAAAGGAAATTGAGCTATGGTTTATTGGTTTATGCTTATGCATAAGTCTAGAGAATTGGGCGTGTTGACTAAAGTTAAATATGGGCATCGTGTTGCGTCAGGCCGTCGCAGGCAGTGCCTGGGTGGGGCTCGTGCTGGGTTGTGCCGTGTCAAATTTTAGCACACCTTAACCCACGGCACGACCCACGTTAAGTTTATATAAATAATGTTATTAATTTATGTTTATGTTAATGTTAATATATTTTTTTTTTTCGAACAAATTTAATTTAATTAAGTTTATATAAATAATTTATGTTTAAGTTTATATAAACTTATGTGTGCATGGGCCGTGCCACGTGCGTGGCTGGTGGGCCGTGCCGACCCACGGGCCGACGACCGTGCCTCCTCGTCGTGCCCGTGCCGAATTTCAATTTGTTTGTTCACGGCACGGCCCACAAGTGGACCATCTTGCCGGTGGCTATGCCGGAATCGTGTCGAGTCCGCGCCGCCCACTGTCGGCACGAACCATGCCCACCTTTAGCTAAAGTATTAGGATTTTGGGTTTCCAAAGGAGCTTTAAGGCAATCCTTGAGCTCATTTAAATAATCAAGTGTTAATTGAGGAGACACAACTTGGTGCCTACACTAAGGAACATAGATGACAATGAGTCGGATTCGGATCGGGTGGAGCTTCACCCGCATCCATCATGCCGGCCAATCACTTCATCCACATCCATCCATCATCCGCTTCAATTCACCTATCATCCGTATCCACCCATCCATCATTCGTGGATGGAACGGTGGATCGGGTAACTAATGGATGAACATTTTATGAAAAAAAGTTTCACATAAAATTTAATTTATGATTATTTCTACTATAAGCTATTATAATTTTTTAAATAAAAAGGAAGCACTAACTACATATTCTTTGAAAAAAATTAATTTGCAAAAAATAAATTATTTTTATTGTATATTTTATTTTATTTTTAATTAAAATTCTTAGATTAAATATCTTTATATATGTTAAACGGGTGGGTGGATGATTAATGGGTGAAAAAATCATAATCCACATCCGAGCCGCTCCATCATCCACTTCATTCGTCACCTGCTTTTCATGCATTTATTTCGAGTTTTCGTCAATTTATTTCAAGCGGGTGGATCGGGTTAGCGGATATCCATTTAATATTGCCATCCTTACTGAGGAAGGTATTCATTAGGTGCAAAATGTAAAACGTGAAAATGATTTTCTCATTTTCAATGGTTTTTATTTATTTGGTTTGTTAAAATTTATATTTCTAATGGTGAAAAATAACTCTAGTTGGAAAAACTTTATCCTTTTTTAATAAAAAAAAATCCACGAAAAAATCGTGATTCATTGAAAAATGTTATCGGTTCCTTAAAAGATTATTGACGCCAAAACCATTTAGTCCAAAAATTATACCAAATCGTGCTTGTAGCCTATGAAGTAATTATAACACAATTTCAAAGTCCCAGCCATAGTAACACAATATCACTTGATTTATGGATTGATATCCAATGACACATTTCCTTCCCAAAAATCGTACCAAATCGTCCTTGTACCCTGTCAAGCAGCTATATCACAATTTTAAATAAGTCCCAACGAATTAGCACTAACTAAATATAATACTCCTTAATTGACACTTGATGTTTTTACATTTGATAGCAGTTTAAAAGCCACCACTCTGTCTTTTAAGTCGTTAGACAATAGGACCACAAACATCTCACATGAGGGGAGGACCCTAACATGTATACAATGTTTCAGAAAGTTTGCATAAAATTATGTCATAATTATTTCTTAATTAAGTTTGGTATATTTTTGTATGGACAAGATAGCTGCTTAATAAAGATACAAATACAAGTGTATAATGTTGCACAAAAAGGTACAATATCAAAACTGCTTATTGTTAGTGTTTGTCCCACTTTATGGTGTTTAGATAGTAAAGAAACTTCTGATTATCAGCTTTATTGTTCTAACTTTTTAGATAGCAACCATATCTTAACAACAGCTTTGATTTGATTTTGTTTTTATATATTAAAATTGGTTCAATTATTAATTTCATTATGAAAATAAACATGTATATGTAGGACTTCAGCTTTTGCTAGTTATAATGAGAACCATTAATTAATATGGTAAGTTTATGATTGTTGTTGATAAGTTGCTTCAGAGTAAATAACCCACGGGAAGGAAAAGTGACCAAAACTGAGAAACTGGTTGTTGACTAAATTGACGGATTTTAGACCAAAAAGTAGGGGATTGACTTAGGCTGGGGAGGCTAAATTTCTAAGCATCAATCTCTAGTGTATACGGAGTAATGTTAATGTTTAGAGTCTGTTCTCATTTACTAAACTGAGCTGAACTCAACTGAATTGAATAATATTTTATGAGAGAAGAAAATTAGGAATTGAACTGAAAATAAGTAGAAAAAAACAAATCCTAAGTCATTGTGATATAGAGATTAATTTTAAGTAAGAAATTATTCTTACAACTCCAAAGTGTCTCTAATGTAGTAACCTACGGAGTATAGTATTTATTGATCTTACATTGCTTCAAAGTCATGAGATATAAACCTTACAACTAGCTCATTAGAATTTGATGCATACCGCTGTATGCTAGTCTACATCTAACATAATCTCCAAGTTGGATTTTAGTACTTGGATTTTAATATTGCGTAATTGTGATTTATAATTGATATAAAGTAGAAAATGTCTAAATAAACTAAAATTTGGCAGGACAATACCTATGTTAGATACACGTATTATATTGAGATACATGTATAAATGAGATTTGATTTCAAGTATAACATGCACTAACACATTCTTACTACTTTAACCGACTAATTTAGCTAACACATGTAATAAATATGTACGTAATATTTTTGAGAAAAGCATTTAGTTTTATATTTAAATTTAGAATCATTGTTCCAAACATGTTCGAAACAAGTGGTTTATTTTCTATTGACTTTGTTTTTTTGGGAGTGAAAGTGGAAGTGTGGAACCTATTAAACTACTCATATCCATTTAAGCAATCTATCTTTCCAGAGAAGCAAATAATCTATCTGACCCCAACAATAAAATAAAGCCTATTTAAAAGCGGCCTTTTTCATATTTCCCTCTTCACCTATATATAAACCCCATCTCCAAACATCAATGTACATCAGTTGATCACCATTATTTTCTCCACAAAATCACTCAACAACAAAAACTCAATTAAATGGACGAGTCATGGCGAAAGAGCATGGGTGTCTCCGCCTCCAGTACCTCAACCGGGGGCACGGCACTAGAACCCGAAGATTTCAACGACGTTTTCGGAGGCCCCCCAAGAAGTGTAATAGCAAGAAAAATGTCAGCTGACTTCTCAAGCAACGATTGGTTTTACAATGAGATTTTCAAGCCACCTTCAGATTTTTTTGATTCTCCGGCTGTAATTTCGGGCCGAAAGTTGCCTGAGTTTGTTATTCCGGACAGGAGACGGTCCAAGAATAGGCAAGTGAAGTCCATGTCAAGATCAAAGTCCACTTCTTCATCTGTTATGAGCTTTGATGAGATGAATGAACTCAATAATTTCCGATCCGCCGCTGTTATTGGGGAGGAGGATGTTGTTCTTTCAACTTACACTTCCAAGCTCAGGTGAATTCTCAACTCTTTACATACTTTTCTCTAATATAATAGTTTTTTGTTTATCATTTAACAATTTTATTATATTTTTTTTAAAAAAATAATACTAGTTGGTGCTTATAATAGTAATTAAGTTACAAAGGTAAGTCAGTTTATGTTGTGTTAAAGTGTTAGTTGTGTAACTGATTATGATGTCTTAAATCTTGGACAACTAATTAGATAGATGACACTAATTATATGCTCTTCTCTATTTTTAAACTAATTAAACTTGGGCATGATCACTGTAAAGTTGTTTGATAAACCAATACTGTTCTTCTAAGTACATACTATGTAAAATCGACTTGTAATCACAAATCACCACTCAGCAATATATGAAACACCACCCTAATTTAAAAAGTCTTCACTGATCATTCTTCATGTTATCATTTTACGAACTGAAGTATTATGTAGTAAGAGTAAAAGATTATGCATGTAAATACGAGTCACTCCTCACCAAATAAAGTAATAACCATCAATAAGTGTAATTAGTTAGCGATTCACCTTGTAATTTTCAGATCACAAAGTCGAGTCCTTTGAATTATAAGTGCTTAGAGATGAGGGTCCTTTAGTTTGGAATAACAAGATTTGTTGTCATCTTTGTTAAAAAAAAAAAAAAAAAAAAAGGATTTGTTGTCTTGTTGCTCCATAGTCCGTACTTTAGTAAATTAAAATATTGACGATTATTTGAGAGGGAAAATAATTGAGTCAAATGGACTAATTTTGATAACATACTTTAGATATTGGTATAAAAAAAATAAAATGTTGGAAAATTTGTATAAAAGGGATATATATGTTCACTATTTTGTACGAAAGGACCTTATATGTTTAAGTGTCTAAAAAGACCTTATAAATTGATTTTGTTGTTTGGGGATGGACCTTGAGGTCGGAATCCGGCAATAATTACTTTTTTCTCCGAGGTTGACCTCTCATGTTACCTTAAAAAATGACCTCCTTTTTTTCTCCCCATGATTTCCCTCAAATTCCCTTATTTTGATTTGTGTCATTTGGGGATTAGAAGAGAGAGAAGAAGAAATTGGAGGGAAACCGTGGAAACAAATGGAAAGGGGGTCATTTTTTAAGGTCACATAAGAGGTCAATGTCGGAGAAAAAGTCAAATATTATCGGATTCCGACCTCAAGGTCCCCCCAAACAACAAAATAAACTTATAAGGTATTTTTAGACCACTTTAAATATATAAGGTCGTTCCACACAAAATAGCGAACATATGTGTGCCTTTCGGACAAATTTTCCACTACAAGAAAAATCTCTTTTCGTAACGATTATTTCGTAGCGATTGTACATTCGCTACAATATGCAAGTATGTTTGTGAAATAATTAAGGATGCCGTATCATTTTTACTTCGCCATGGTTTTCCTATATAAAATCGATACGGAAAACATAATAATACATATCAACACCATTTTTACACATTTATATAATTTTGAGAAATCGTATCATTTACAATCACCACTAAATCATAAAATTGATACAAAAAGCCTTTTCTACAGTAGATATATAAATATTGTTTGACAAAGAATACATAAAAAAATGTCATAACTTATTGGTGAAACATTTAATATAAGAGTTTGATGTTGCATATTCGAATCTTGTAAAGATCATACGCATTTTTTTTTTTTGAAGAAAATGAGTTAATCATTTATAGCGATTGTAATCGCTACAATAATCACCACGATTGGATGTAGTTTTTCATATCGATTATTGAGGCCAACCCCAGCGATATTGAAAACCACTACTAAAGGCTAAGGCAACGGGGGATATTGTATCGAATGACCATTCGTTGGGAAAGCTTTTTGTTGCAATTACAATCGATACTAAAAATTAAAATAATCGCTACGAAAAGGTTATTTTCTTGTAGTGTTCCTAAAATGTTTGTAAATTGATTTCAAAATGGTTTCCTTTTAACTACCTAATTAGTTTAGTTTAGGTTTTTTTTTTTTTTTTTTTTTTTTTTTTTTTTGGAAGGAATAGTTTTGACTTATTTCTAAACAATAATATTAGCCTATTTTATTTTTGCCAAATACAATTTCTAGAGTTGTTTTTTTTTTCTCTTTTTTTTTTTAATTTTTTTTTTTGCCTAGCTATCATTATGTGTACAACTAAACACCGTTTCACCACTCTCCTTCATTTTCTTTAACAAAGATTTGTGTAAAAGGACCTTTTAAGTGGTTGATTTTGTTTAAAATGATCTTTTAAGTGAAAATGACCTATTAAATTGTACTACGTATTATATTGTGAGGGAGTACTAGGCTGGGTGGTCAACGGTGGATCTATGGTGTTGACTCTCATGTGGTAAACTCAGTCCAGTATCCCCTCACAATGTAATACAACTTAAAATGTCTTTTTTCACAACTTTTCACTTAAAATGTCATTTTAAATAAAATTGACCACTTAAAATATCCTTTTACTCAAATTTTCCTTTTCTTCAACTTATTTTTTGATTAAATTTTCTTATATGAAGTAATATATAATCACATTGTTTTACACTCCGTCACAACTAACAACACTCTTCTTCAATTTAAAAAAAAAAAAAAAAAGAAGAAAAAGAAAACTCTTATATTATTCATAATATTTTTGCAACATTTTTGCCATTCATTTACATTAAAGACACGTTTTTTTATTTGATTATCATTAATAAGATATCTAATTTTATTAATAGAATTATTAATGTAATTTGATTGTAATTTTCAGGCCACTCAATGTACCAAGTAGATGGATTGCATCATCCAAGCCTAAAACAAATCATAAAAAGCAAGACTTACCAGCATATGGATGCCCTAACACAATATCTTCTTTTGATAACAACAATTTCATTACAAATGAGTGTAATGACTACATGCTACAAACCTACAACTTTGTGTATCACCAAACTATACCTTCTCCAAAAACTATAAACTTTGAACACTCCTTCATAAATGTCAATGGTGAATATGGTGTGCAACTCTCGCCGAATTCACCGGTTGTTCCTCCTCATCAAGGTCGAACAACAAACTACGAGTACGAAGAATGTTTATCATATCAACAACCTTCTTATGTTGGTAGTGAAGTAAATAATCAAATGGTTGAAGCCAGCAACTCAGAAGAAACCAATATTGCTGAGGCGATTGCTTGGGCGAAGGAGAAATTTCATGGTTGGAGCTCAAATGGTAACACGCAAGGAGTTAATAAAGAACAAGAGAGCAACTTTTTTACAATACATGGTGCGAGATAAAACCTATGGCACAAGGTTAAAATTTTTTTAAAAAAAAATTAGACCCTTGATTATAGGGTGTGTGAATTAAGAATATATGGTTATTTATTCCATTGTAATTTGAAAATAATAGGACAACTCATATGTTTTATAACATACAAGAATATTATAAACGTAATTTAAAATGGCTAAAACAACACTAATTTAACTATCGAAAAATATTGTGTGTGAGTTCGTTCTACATATTAGTCCGCGCTCGGCCCGTTTATTAAAGTTCAGCCCGCGCGCGGCCCGAACCTTAAATAGCTCTTTTTTTTTTCAAACACATCCATCGTTCCGCCTTCCTCCTCCTTTTTCTCACCCACGTTTTCTGCATTTTCACTCCATTTTTATCAGTTACACTCCATTACTATCGACTTAATTTCACGTTTCCGAATAATTCGCATAGCTACTTCATTTTCTAGCTTTAATTGTATTTGCATGTATTTAATTTTTGCTTTTTCTTTATAAACCCTAACATTCTTCATTTTCGACTCAATTAATGTCTACCATTTCGTCGATTAAAGATTCTTCTCCCTTAAAAGTTTATCATAAATGAAGTAAACAAGCTCGAAATTAAAAAAAGAGAATATAGTTGCAATGGCTGAAAGGTTTATTATACTTCAGTTATTTTTTAGGTTATACTTCAGTTATTTTTTTTTAACAATCATTTTATAACTTATTATTTCGTTTTGTAGGGTCGATTCAGAACCACCATTGAAAAAGCGTGGTCCTAAACCTGGGTCTAAACGAAGTCGACCTGTTAGGTGTAAAATTGTATTCTATTTATTTCGCAAAAAGACATAGCATTTTGTATTTGTTGTTTCATATTGAATACTTGTATATTTTCTTGGGAAATAAACACACATATGTGGTTACTATATTGTATTTTGGTAATAGATTATATTTTTCAGGATTATCTTTTGTTGTTTTGCCCTTTGTTATGGATATGGTTGTTTCACTCGTCATAATGCAATATTATGATGTGAATATTTATGATTTTTGCATTTTTAAGTGAGGAATAAGATTATTATTTTCAAGAATTATATTTTATTAGCCAGGAATTAGGATGGTGTAGTCAGATATTAGATAGTTTGCTTAAAGAATTGGTGTATTCAAGTCAGACATATAATTCTAAAAGTTAGAAATTATCAAGTTTTAGTTAGATATTAGCATATTTATATCAGGAATTGATCTAGGTTTATCAGGAATAAAAAAATAAAATACTCAATTGATGATGTCAATAGTTTCAGTTTTGTATTTAAAAATTTGAAGCCAGAAATAAGATTATTATAATCAGGAATTTGTTTGTTTTCTTCATATATTAGATAATTTAATTAAGTTCTTGGTCTATTCTGGTCTGGCATAACATTCTAAATTTCATGAATTAGCAAGTTCAAGACAGAAATAAGATTAATATAATCAGGAATTAAATATTATTAGTCAGGAATTAGAATGGTTAGAAAATATATCTCATGCTTTGGTGAATTTTATTCAGGAGTAACAATTTAAACGTCAGCATTTAGCACGTTTTAGTCAGATATTAGATAAATTTTATCAGTTATTAGTCTTTTATTTTACTTAGAGTGGTTCTCAGTACTTTGTGGTTTGCATAAAATTTTTTATAATAAAGATATGTTTTAAATATCTCTCAATTTTAATGTGATTTTTTACTTTTCAAACTTTCAGATCTCTTAGTGAAGATGATATTGAAGTCTTAGAGCTTGGTACTAAATCTGGTCCTAATTATCTTTTTCAAATCATGGAAGATTTAAGTGATCAGCAAAAAAAGGATGTAAAAGATATTGGGTTTGGTGGGTTGCTTAATATGAACTTGAAGGATAATATCAGTCACCAGTTGTAGGGAAGGATAATATCAGTCACCAGTTGTATGGTTATATGGTAACTCATTATAATCCTAAGGCAAGAAATCTGATTGTTGGTAAAAAAGAACATGCTATTCATATTGACAGTTCTGATAATGCTGATGTTTTGGGCATTCCTTTTACGGATATACCTGTGAAAGAGATTTCCAAAAACAAGAAAGGCTTTAATCCTGATGACTATTTGAAATCAGAGTGGAGGAAATTTTTAGGTTTGGATGGAGAAGAAGGTTTGGAAAAATAAAATGAATCTGAAACTAACAAAAAAAAGAAGAGGAAAACTGGTGATGAATCTGAAAAAGGTATTGAAAGCAAGAAGAAGGAATCTGAAAGACCATCTCAAAGTAAGAAGAAGAAGACATAAGTTAAATTTCTTACTTATCAAGCATTGTTTGAGAAATATAGGGGTGGAGGTTATGAATTTAAGAGACTCTTTGTTATGTTTGCTGTTTCTAATTTTTAAAGTCTTTGGAAGATGTACATTTCATAAAGACTTACAACTGGGCTGGTTATGTGATGGATTGGTTATGTACATCTATAGCAGAGTTTCAGTCCTTTGTTTTGAAGAAGAAGGAAGGACAAGAATTGAAAAGTAAATCAAAACAAGTAAATGGCTATTTGGTTGCCTTTATAATTGCTTTTTTGCAAAAGTTTGAGTTTGGGACCACTTTAGATAGGAATCCATTTGTAATGAATTGGTTATGTGAATCTCTGAATGAGCGGATTAAAGCCAGTGCTGAAAATATTGATTATGGTACTGTGAAATTGTATCCTCAGACATTATTATTACAGTATGCTGGCAAAAGTGAACAGGAGCTTCTTAAATCTTTTCAGCTGGATAACATTGAGTTTAAACTTGAAGATACTGATGATGATGAAGATTCTGGTGGAAATATATATGGAAGGTCAGGGTGTACAATCTGCCCCAATTGATTCTGGTGGAAATAAGGATGGTCAGGGTTTACAATCTGCCCCAATTGAGTTGAAAGCTGATGATGACCAAACTAGATATGTCATGTACAAAATTCCTAAAGAATACCCAACTGATGATGAGATTGATAAAATGGATATTGATGTAAGTTTGAAATCTCATTTCTTTTATTAATTTATTAAAGCTTTTAATTCAAGAGTTCATTATGTATAATCTGTTGTTATGCACTAAATTCCGAAAGCTTTTTTATTATAACCTGTCTTTAAGTTTAGTTTAGTTTAGTTTTATTAGGAGTAAGAAATTTGATATCATTATTAATATGAGAATGTTGATCAGGAATATCACAGTTTTGTTCAGGAATGGAATTATTTTAGTCGGGAAATAACTTGTATCTTAACTGTATTCAAGTCTTACATATAATTCTAAAAGTTAGAAATTATCACGTCAGATATAAGCATATTTATATCAGGAATTGATATATGTTTATCAGTAATAAAAAAAATAAAATACCTAATTGATGATGTCAATAGTTACAGTTTTCTATTTAACAATTTTAATCCAGAAATAAGATTATTATAATTAGGATTTAGTTTGTTTTCTTCATATATTAGATAATTTAATTAAGTTCTTTTAGTCTGGAATAACATTCTAAATTTCAGGAATTAGCAAGTTCAAGTCAGAAATAAGATTAGTATGATCAGGAATTATATATTATTAGTCAGGAATTAGAATGGTTATAAAAAATATCTCAATTAGGTAAAACATTGTTTAAATTAGAAATTATATAACTTTTAACAGGAATAACATTATTTTTGTCAGTAATGTGTTATTTTTTGTCAGGAATTAAATTTTTATAGTCAGGAAATAAGGTATAAGTTTCAGGCATAATGTTGTTTTATTCAGAAATTATTTAATTTTTATCAGGAATTAGAATCTTGAGTGTCTTTTATGTTGGATATGTTATTATATTTAACTCATTCATTTTTTATTCTCATTTTTTTTATCAGGCTGTGAAAAAGAAAATGATGAAATTTGGTCGTGACTTGAAGATTGTATCAGAGAACCAAATTCACTTTGCTACTAATTTGAAGGATGAAGAAATAAAAAGTTCACAAGAATCTCAATCTCAAGGAGATGATGATATATATTCTAATCCACAGTTCTTAGCTAAAATTAATGAAATAATGTTAGCTGCTATGAAGAGCAAAGAGTTAGCCACTGAATTGGATAATTTTGATCTTAAGCTTAAGTCTGATGAAATTGTAAGTTTTATTACCTTTATCTTTATTTTTTTATTAAATTAAGTTTAATTTTTGATATTAATGTTTATTTTATACAGGTGAATAATGTTATTGTTGATCTTGATTTGACGAAAGTCTTAAATCAAGATATACCTAAAAATGATAAATTAGAGGATAGAAATGAAGAAAAAGAATCTGAAGAAGAAGAAGAATTTGATGTACCTGAAACTAGTATCCCTGAACAGATACCAGAGAAAAATGAAGATGAAGATGATGTTTCACTTGGTTCAGAAGCTGTTGTTGTTCACCAAGGACTTGTCGCTGATGTTTCACTTGGTGCAGAAGGTGCTGCTGTTGACAAAGTAACTGATTTTGTTGTTTCAGATGTTGTTGAAATTGCTGCTGTAAATTCTGAACCTGGCACAGCACCAAGAGAAAATGTGGTTAGTTCAGTTGGTGGGGAGGGTGTTCTTGGTTATTCAACATCACCTCCTAGAAAACCAAGGAAAGCTAGGGGACTCAATGAAATTTATTCTGCTGGTTTGAATGATAATCAGGCTAGGATTGTGCAAGAAGGTATGAGTTTTTCCATGGGAGATCAGTCTATGCCAAAATTTAATTTAATTACCCCTACTTCTCCTTCTCCTCAACCATCAAAGGAGAAAATTGCAGAAGTTACCGGAAAAGAAGTTTCGGTAACTGTTGAAGAAGAAACAAAAAATGACAAAGATGATGACATCACATCTAAGGTCTAATATTTGTATTTTATTTGAATAATTTATTAAAATACTAGTAATTATTGTATTAAAATTGAATATTTTATATAAATAAATTTATTTATTTTTTATTTCTGTTATACATATGTTTTCAGGTTTTTACTAAATCTGATAATGTTGGTCAGAGTAAAGTTACAGAAGAACATCAATCACCTATTGATGTTGTGAATCAGGTAATTTTTTTTGTTATTTTTTTCACGAGTTAAATTATTCTGGTCAGGAATTAGATTTATTTTGTCATATATTATATAAGTTTTGTCAGTAATTAGAATATTTTTGTCAGGATTTAAAATATAGTTGTTGGGTTTTTAATTAGATTTACTGTATCAGGAATAATTATATTTTAGTCAGTTATTAGATGATTTGTGCAGGAAATGATACAATTTTGTTCAGATGTAAATTATAACTCTAGTTGTTCATCAGGAATAAAGTTGTCATTGTCAGTTATTAGATTACCTCTATCTGTAGTAAGAATATTTTAGTCAGGAATAATAATTTTTTGAATAGAAATTAACTTCTTTTTTTCAAAATAATACATTCTTAATCAGGAAAAAGATTTATTCAATCAGCTATTAGATTACTTTTGTCAGTAATAAGAATATTCCTATCAGGAATTAGAATTTTTAGTTCATTAATTAGTATAGGTTATTATTGTTTGTATTTAAGTTATTTGTTTTTGATTTTAATACATATTATTTTTTTTGTAGGAAGCTCAGCCTAGAGATACAACTGTAGTTTTAGATTTATTGAGAAATAAATATATTGAAACGGAAACGGTTGCTAATGAATCTATTCCAACTGAAGTTCTACAATCTCCTAGTGCTCCTCATCCTACCCTTATTGTAATAGATAAAACTCCTACTCCTACTGCTGCTGATTTATCTCAAGACGAGTTTATGGAAATAGGACCTCAGCCTCCTAAAACTCACATTCAGTTAATTGATGTGGACAAATTTCCTACCGATGAAAATGTCCCTCCTGAAATTACATTTATTGCTGCTGATGCATATGCTGAAAAAAGGCTGAGAGATCGCAATATCTAAGAGATAAACAGCTATTGGAATTGCAGGCTGATATGGAAGCATCTAGTTTGGATTCAGATTGGGTAGATCCCCCTATTGATAAGATTCCGATTCAAAATCGAGAAATGATTGTCTCTAGGAGTTTGCAGGAAAATAAGCCTCTGTATCTGAAAAATTTAAGTGAGCATGAAAGATATATGTGTGACTTCCTCATTTTTAGAAAATACGATGAGTTGTATGAGTTAGATCCTACAGGAGAAGATGAGGGAGTTAAGGCGCGTAACAGTAGTCTGTATGTGCAAGATACTGGTGATGTTATCAGTCAGTTTAAAACTGAAGATCTTTCCCAAAGCAATATTATTTTGGTGAAAGAGGAGTTTTGTTCGGTGCGCCCCTCTGTCTGGATTAATAGTGCTATTCATGATACTTGGGCTTCTGCTTTGAATCTTGAAGAGAGCCAAATAGCTGACAGAGGAATATTTCAGTACAAGAGATTTGTTTTTTTTTTTACTGGAGTTGCTGTAAGTTTTTTATTTTTTTTTTTTATTTTTTATTTTTTATTTTTTTTTATCTTTACTTATAATCTTTGGAATTTTTATGTATATAACATAATATATGTTTCAATTTTTTTTTGTTTTGTAGGATACTATACAGAGATATTTAATAAATAGAGAAAATTACAAAAAAGATGTCAAGAAGATAAAAGAACAGGAAAAAGTTTTGAATTCTTTGGAAAATAATCTAGAAGAATATGCAAAGTTTAAGGAGCAGTTGAAAAAATTTGAGCTCAATATGGAATTGAGAAAACATGATGCTAATGATGTTTATGCTTCCATTGAAAAATGGGTTGATCGTTTTCCAAAGTTAAACATAGTAGAAGCAGAGTTGGTAAGTTATTAAATTTATTTCTTGTTTTAACTCAGGTAATATATTTTTAAATTCAAGTACTAGCTTTTATAATCAGGTATTAATCTAATTTTTTCATGTATAAAGATATTTAATGTAGTAATTAGACAATCTTAGAGTTTAGAGTGTTGGATTAACATTACAATATTTAATCATGAATTTAATTATTATAATCAGGAATAAGATTTTACTAGTCAGGAATTACTATGCTTAGTCAGATATTAGATGATTTATCTCATGTATTGTTGTATTTTGTCAGGCTTAACAATTTAAGTCTTAAATATTATTATTCTATTCAGGAATTAAGGTATATTGATCGGGAATTAAATTTTAGTCATGAATTTAACAATCTAAGTCAGATATTAATATTTTATAGTCTAAGAGTTCAAGTTTTGGATTTAACATTGTCAAGTTTAAGATAATATATTATTATAATATTTAGTCAGAAATTATATTATTATAATCAGTAATTAGATATTTTTAGTCAGGAATTATCAAAGATTTCAATATTTTGTCAGGAATTATATTATTATAATTAGTAATTAGATATTATTTGTCATGAATTATAAAGTATTAGATTATATATGTCATTTATCATTCAGTCAAATATTGTAATATAAAACTCAGATAAAACTAGACTTTGATGGTTTATAAAATTAACAGATAAAAATATAAAAGTTTAAATCAGGTATTGGTTTATAACTTATAATAATTTAACTTTTTTTTTGTTTTATTGTTGCAGTATTCTTTCCCATTTGGTACAAAAATCACTATACTATGATGATTTTCAATTTTATTCCTGGTATAACTCCACATATAGATTGGATAAATAACAGGACTGACATTGATCGAACTCACTTGGATTTTATTGATAAGTATTTGGTAAGTTTTTTGTCTAGTAACTATTTCATTTTATTTCTTAAATATTACACTTTTAGATGCTTATATATATAAATATATATATTTATATTTACAAATTAGAGTTGTTCATCTTTTTCTGTGAAGGAAAGAACATCCTTTAGTAGAAAAAGTTCTTGACTTGACATGGAATACTCCAGTTTTTACTTGGAAGACTACCACCAAAAATTATGATTGTGGGCTTTTAGCATTAATGTGTATGCAAAAATACGATGGATTTGGATCTCTAGTTGTTGTTCTTCTTCTTTCAAAATGCCTTCTAATTATTTTATTTTTCTTTGGCCTTCCTTTTGTTTTTGGTCGTTTTGGATCTTTTACAGCATTCCTTCTCTCTTGTTCTTCATCAAGCTCACGAATTTTTTCTTCATTTGTTTGGAACACTTTTCTTACAGATATATACATTTGTTCCAAAGCATCGTCACATAATTTTATTGCTTCTTCGTTCCCTTGACATATACTTACAAGGTTGTAGAAATTCTTTGTTATTGATTGCCTCCATGGAGTGTTTATTAATGAATGACCTGTAGTTGCATTTCCTAACAAAAAAAAAATTATTACATTTGTCATAAAATAATATAGGTCAGGAATAAATATATCTATATCAAGAATAATATTATTATTGTCAGTCATAACAATACATATATATCAAGAATAAGATTACAATGTCAGGAATAAGATACGTATAAGTATGAATAACATCTGTATAATCAGAAATAAGAATCTAAATATCAGGAATAATGTTAAATTTTTCAGTAAAAACAATTTTGTTTTCCCCTTGAGTCATAAGTGTTCATGTATCATAAAAAGTTATAAAATATGAAAATATAATATATTTTATGATCAAAAAGTTATACAAATTTGACTAAAGTCAAAATAAAGTCATATAAAACTGAAAAAGTATTTAATTGCAACTTCAAAAAGTCATAAAAATCTTTAAAAAACTGAAAAAGTATTTAATTGCATTATCAAAAAGTCATACTAATCATATAAGACTGAAGAAGTCATATAATTTCAAAATAATTTATTCCATCATGAAAAGGTCATAAAAAAAAGACAAAAGTCATAATTTCTTCTGTTAAATTACATGTCAATTATTGCTATTCATACATAACTATTTTCTATTTAAAGGTTGTTTAAATCAAGCCTTTTGTATTAAAAACTTTAAATTAACAACCTCTATTGTTTCCATATAAGGTTGAGTCCTATTTTTTCTTTTGTACAATTTTGAAGAAAATGGCTGATTTCTATGAAAATTTGGCAAAATGTTTTGTTAAATTCAGATCAATTTATCGGCTTAGTTTGGTAAAAACATTTAGCTTTATACTTATATTTTTATTTTGTGTCTTAGTAAATATTTAATGTTTTAATTCTATTTTGTGTGTGTGTGTTTATTTATTTATTTATTTTATTTCAGCCACTTCCTGCAGATTGGAAAGATTTTCTTTTAAGTTCACAGGTCCAGTTAGAGTCTATCGTGGAAATAATGGCAGATTTTGGGAGGTTAGAGTGTTAAGCGTACCACAAAATACAGGAACCCGTGGTGGTTGTTTATTGATGATGCTTGGACAAGCTTTGTATCATCAAATAATATTGTTGAAGGAGAAAGACTGTATATTTATGATGATAATGATTCAAATTTTTACATTAGAGTTTTTCATGCTGATGGTAATGAGAGGGTTCCTACTGAAGCAGAAAATGGTATTAATGTATAAGTTTATTTGTAAATATTATGTTTGTAATAAATAAGTTTATATTAATAAAAAATAATAATATTTATAGCAGGTATAAAATTATGTTTGTCATAATTAAATTGTTTTATCAGATTTAACAATATTTGTTTCAGAAAAAGGACAATATTCGTCGGGAATAATATAATATTTGTCAGGAATAAGTTCTTATAATTATGAGTCATAATACTTTTATTTTATATTTAATTAACAAATAATAAATTTTAAAATAACAAAGTATGTACGTACCTGATTCATTCTCATCCCATATCATTGATTTAGCAAGCCTTGTCCAGCGTTTCAGAATGTATCTCTACATTTGCATTATCTTGAGAATGTGAAAGCACATCAATCCAGTCTCTGTGAAGCACATACAAGAACACATAAACTCATTGTTTTGACAGTGATATATGACTTGATAGGTGTGCATATAATCTTCATCAAGAGAAACATCAAAGAATTTGACGTATTGCATTGAAGTTGGCTTTTCCTTTGCATATGCTCCTAGACTGGTGTCAAATTCCAACTTAAAATCCTTGTATAAGTTCAGAGTATAAACTTTAGCAGCATGTTTTAAGATTTTTGTTGTTGTTTTTGGTTTCTCAGTAGTACATCTGAAGTTGTCACTCTTTTCAGTGCTTCTCCATCTTCTCACAGTAGCTTCAAATATATGAAAGAACTCCAAAAGTTTAGTGGTTCTGTTGGCCTTAAATGAAATTGCTCTGTTTGTTACTTCTACTCTTTGAGATGAAAGGATTCCCGCAGAGAAAATATCCTTGCTCAATGCAGTGCACCATTTTTCTCGTAGCTCGAATAACCTATCAAACCACTTTTTTTTTTTTTTTTTTTTTTTTTTTTTTTTTTCTAATCCATGTTTTTGAACCATCTTGTTCCAGACATCTTCGAATCCTGATTCTGAATCACAGCCACTTAAGCACTTGTGAAACATATTCTTGAATTCAGGGTTGTTTTTTTAAAGTTCCAAAGTGTGATACAAAATTCTTTTGTAAATGCCATAGACATAATCTATGTCTTGAATTTGGATACACCTACAACAATTATAGAACAATTTGATTATTTTCTTCAGTTTTTAGATTATTTTGATCAGAAATTACAGGAAATTCATAAGGAATTACATGATATTCAAATAATTTCATTTTATAGTCAGATATTAGATAAATAATGGCAGTAATTAATAAATTTTTGTCAGGTATTATAGAGTCAACGTTAGATATTATATAACTCATGTCAGTTATTAATCTATTTTTGTCAGGCATAACAATTTATTAGTCAGAAATTAAAGTGTTTTAATCACATATTAAATAAATAATGTCAATTATAAATCTATTTTCTTCATCAGTTTTAACTCAGAAATAAGCTTAACTTAGATAGGAATTAGATATTATTTGTCAGGTATAATTTGTTTTATCTTTAGTATTGGTTGATTTATGTCAGGCATAATAATATTTTACTCAAGAATAATAATATTTTAGTCTGGAATTAAAGAGTAACAGACACATATTATATAATTTACGTCAGTTATTAATCTATTTTTGTCAGGCATAATAATATATTAGTCAGTTTTTAGATTATTTTGATCAGAAATTACATGATATTCATAAGGAATTACATGATATTCAAATAATTTCATTTTATAGTTAGATATTAGATAAATAATGGCAGTAATTAATAAATTTTTTTCAGGTATTATAGAGTCAAAGTCAGATATTATATAACTCATGTCAGTTATTAATCTATATTTGTCAGGCATAACAATTTATTAGTCAGAAATTAAAGTGTTTTAATCACATATTAAATAAATAATGTCAATTATAAATCTATTTTCTTCATCAGTTTTTATATTATTTCATAAGATATTACATGATTCATTAGGAATTAGCAAAGTTATAGTCATTACTTAGACAACATAAATCAAATAATTTCATTTTACAGTCAGATATTATATAAATCATGGTAGTAATTGATAGATTTTTGTCAGGTATTAAAGATTCAAAGTCAGATATTAAATAACTCACGTTAGTTTTTAATTTATTTTTACACAGGAATTAAAGTGTTTAAATTAGATATAAAATTTTAGTCATCTATTCGTATATTATAGTCAGATATAAAATTATTCTTGTCAGATATAACAATATTTTAGTTAGGATTTAAATATTTTCAGAGTTTAATTAGTGTTTAGTATTTGATATTTTTAACTCTGAAATACATTTAACTTAGACAGGAATTAGATAATATTAGTCAGATATAATTTGTTTTATCTTAGGCATTGGTTGATTTAAGTCAGGCTTAATATTTTTTTTCAGGTAATACATTATGTAGGACAGGAATTAGTTTATAATTATCAGGAATTAAAAAAAAATTCAGGATTATAATCATTTTAATAATTAAATAGTTTTTTTAAATGAGAATAAGATAGTTTTATTCAGGTATTATATTACTTTTGTCAGGAATTAAAACTTAAATATCATAATTAAGCTATATTAAAAATTACTTAGATTGTGTTAAGTTATTTGATACAAAACATATCCCAATATAAAATACAAATACAAATATTAAGCTGAAACTGCTTACCTCTGGTATGGCGTTACTCATTGCAAGATCTTGATCAGTGAAGATTGATTTTGGTTCAATTCCACACATTGACTTTTTGAAGATTGAAAGCAGCCAAACAAATGTATCAGTCTTTTCATCAGTTATGAATGCACATCCAAACATTGTTGTTTTCCAGTGATTGTTTATACCAACAAATGGAGCACATATCAACCCATATTTGTTTGTTCTATATGTTGTATCGAAGATTAAAACATCACCATAAGCTTTGAAATCTTCAAGCATTTGGGAGTCACGCCAAAAATAGCTCACAACATTATTTTCTTCTCCAAATTTCAATCTATAAAAGAATGAGGGATCTTGATCTACTCTTTCTTGAAGGGTGTTTAATACATTTTGCATGTCTCCACCTTCAACCATACTCATTTTCACCCTTGATACATAATTAAGGTGATCTCTCTTAGTATGACCTACACATTCTTCTCCTCCAGCTTCATTGCTTATATAATTATAAGCATCCATTGGTTTAATACCACTCTCAATCATGCTCTCAATTAGCTCATCCATTGGAGCTGATATTTGCCTTTCTGATCTTAGATGATGTCTTTGAACTGTTATTACCAGTTCATGATTATGTTCCAACTTATGTGCAAGAACAAAAAATCTACCTTCTGTATTTTTCTTAAAACGAATATGAGCTTTGCATCCAGTTCTTGTTTCATTTACCTCCCTTTCTTTTCTCTTTCTTTCATCAGTTTTACCCAATATGGGTATTTCTACTGATTGTTGTTCACCTGCTATCTTCATTTTACCCTTTGTATGTCCTTCTTTAGAGCATCTAAAATAAAACTCATATAGTTTATCATTGGTATCTCTTCTTTTTGTTGATTTTCTGACAGTGAAACAAAATGATCTTGAATGAGCTTTGTATAAAAAAAAATCCATCATTGTAGTTCAACACAGTATAACCTACTAAACATCTACTTATGTTTTCATCCTTGTCATATTTGTAATAATCTGCAACAAAAGTAAATATAACTCATATCATACCGTATTTTTTGTCAGGAATTACAATATTATACACAGTAATTAAATATTTTTTAAAATTTATAATACTAAGGAATTAGCATTTCTTAGTCAGAAATTAGGTTATCCAGATCAGGAATTACAATATATTAGTCAGGAAATAAATTATTACAATCAAGTATAATATTAGTCAGAATAATATTAGTCATGAATATTAAATTAATTGTCTGCATTTACATCATTAAATTACAGAGCATTTAATTATCAATATACCTATTATAGCAGCATCTTCATCTCGTTCTTCAGCATCTTTTTCTTCATTGATGTTGTCTTCTATAATTACATTATCTGCTGCATACATCATTCGTATTAGTATATTTGAATTTTACTTTAAAATTATCATAAATATAGATTCAAATTTAAATTAATTTTCTACGACATCTATATATACAATTCGAATTAAAATAGCTTTGATTGCAAGTTATTTGTCGAACTTAAATGCGATCGGAAAATAATTAGCATTGATTTTAAATTATAAGTCGAAATTAACTACGATTTGAAATTGAATTAAATTATGCTTCATTCAAAATTAATAACGAGCTGTAATTTCATAAGCATTGATTGCATATTATAGGTCTAAATTAACTCGAATTTACATACGATAATTGAATCGAAATTTAATACGATCTGAAATTCAATTTGCCTTGCATGTAAATTATAAATCGAAATTCATAATACAAATTCACTATTACATTTAACAAATATTATTTGAAATTAAAAACAATCTGAAATTATGAATTGTATTGTAACTTTTTCAGCAGTAATTGTGCTAGAAATTGATTCTATGGGTGAATTAGATTCTACTTCAGTCATCATTGTGTTGTTTGATTTCTCCATTTTTTTTATTTGAAATTGTTTGAAATTTGAAGATTTGAATGCTCTGAAATTTGAGGAAATGAAGTCGTTGAATTTCGTTACAAACATGCAACGCGCATGACTTCTATAATCTCAATTTTTGTTTGCTTTTTTCCCAGTTTTTCCCTTAAACCCTTTTAATTCCCCCCAAATCTCTTTCTCTCTTCTCTGTTTTTTTGTTGGGATTTATCTATTAATTGCCATAGTTTGAGCAACAACAATGGCGACTCTCCCAATTAAGATTATCACTGAAATTCTCTCTCTTTTACCTGTAAATCACTTTTCGAATTTAAGGAGAGAGCCCCAGTTACTCCTAATGAGAAACATTTTCTGTTTCTCATAATGGCATTTTTGAAATTAAATTGAATCTTTTAGCTTGCTGTGCTGGTGACTGGGAAAAGGGGGGGACACATTACGTGGCATGGATTGCTGATGAATGGGGATGTCGTTAGCTAGCGAAAAGTATTTCCTTTATTAGCAAACTCTGAAATTTTAGTATCCGATTCTCTCTCCTCTCCTTTCTGCTTCTTTCTTTTCTGCTGCTATCCTCTCAGCTAGTCTTTGCAAGTACTGTCTATCAACCTCATCCAATGCACGCAAAAAGATTCAGATCCAAACACTTCTTCATCTCGACTAAACATTGAAGGTTCCTTTAACTTCCACTACTATAATTCGGTCAAATTGCGACCGTTTTTTTTACGACCGTCAATAAAACGGTCGTAAAACTAGAAATCTGTGACCGTTTTAAAGGTGGTAGTAATTTTACGACCGTTTTAAAAGCGGTCGTAATTTTGCGACCGTTTTTTTTACCATTTACACCGTCGCAAGTATATTTAAATAATTATTTTTTAATAAATACATGTGAAAATTAATTAAAAATAAAGTAGTTGCGACCGCGTAAAATGGTCGCAGGTTACGACCGTTTTAACACACGGTCGCAAATAGTCGCTAGTTGCGACCGTTTTGAACAGTCGTAATTAGTTTTTTTTTTTCTTTTTTTTCAAAAAAAAGGGGTATAAAAGCCCACTAACCCCTAGACCTAATTCCTTTTCAACACTTTCAGCAGCTGCTCCATCTCTCTTTTCTCTTTCTCTCTCTCTCTCTCTTCTCACGTTGGTCTGTCTTCATCTTCCGTTCTTTCCTTCTCTCCATTCCTCTTCTCCTCCATCATTCCTCCTTTCCTCCTTCATTATTTGACTTTTATCGTCGGAAATCAGACACACTTCAAAGAAATAGATTGAAAATCGTCTAAACATTCAACCGACACCAACCGTCACCACTATGACCTCTACCGTCAAGCTTTAGCCCACCACCAATATCTCCATCGTCACAATCTTATAGCTAAACAAGTTGATGGTTTTTAAGGTCAAATTCGACCATTGTCGAATTTCGCCTTATTAAACCAAATCTAAGGTGAAATTCGAAGTCAACTCTAGGTTTAAGGTATGTTATCGTGTTTATACTTGTTTGTCTGATTTTTTATTCGATTTTTATTTTTATTTTTTGTTCGAATTTCAGTATTCGAATGTTAATTTTTTTTTTTTCATTTTGGGATTCATTTTCGTTTTCATTATATTTTTTTGTTACTGTTTGGGTTTGATTTTTGTTATTTTTGTTAATATTACTATGTATTTTTTATTTTCGTTTCAATTTTTGGGTTGATTTTTGTTAATTTTATTTTTGATTTGATTTTTTAGTTGATTATGGTGGGTAAAGGTGGTTGGTTGGGAAAGGGCACTGGGTGGAGTTGGCTTGGGTGTGAGAAGTGGTGGGGGTTGTGGCTGTGAAGAGCAGCGGTGGTGCGTTATTTCTTTTTTTTTGTTTTTTTTTTAACTTTTAGCGATGGCCAAAAGCGGTCGCTAATTTCCAAGAACACTATTAATATTTGCGACCGTTTCCCTTGCGGTCGTTGAAAATAACAAAAACGGTTGCAATAAATCTGCGACCGTCACACAGTCGTAATTTTTTTTGTGACCAAGGAAATAACGACCACCCCTTTACGACCGTTTTTGCTATTTTCTGCGACCGTTAGAGGCGGTCGCAAAAACCTTAATTTTTAGTAGTGTTCTTTTCAATGAACTCTTCCATTGTTTTTAAAAGGAGATTGTTTGGGAATAGTTCCTTGGCACGGTTAATTTTTGCTGCCATCTTTGACAAATATCCACCTAGAGTTTTAGCCAGATCAATAAACACTTCCATGAATTGCTCCTACAAAATTAACATAACATATTGAGAATATGAACATTCAGTATCATATTACGGACATCAATAGCAAAATAATGAACATAATACGTTTTTATATGAATATGCCAGATATTGAGGGGCCGTTTGGTTGGGGGTAATAAGGAAAGGGAATGGGAATCAACTAGCTCGATTCCCTTTGTTGATGTTTGTTTTACACTTTTAATCATTCCCTTTAACCTCCTCATTACCCCAAAGCCTTCCAACTCCATTCCCCACCCCCTAGACTTTCCCTTTCCCATTCCCTTTCCCTTTCCCTACCCACCTTCACACCACCACATCACCACCTTCACACCTACCAACACCACCAGAAAACCATCCCAGACCACCGCCTCCCCTCCCCCGACTACCGCTGCACCTCTCCCGACCAACGCTGCACCCCTTCCCCCGCAAAAACCACCCTAGCCCCGCAAAAACCACCCCTAGCCCCGAAAACCCTAGCACTGATCTCCCTCTCCCCCGAAACAGTCACTTGGCCCTCCCACCACCCTCGAAACCCTAGCCGCTAGGGTTTCAAGGGTGGTGAGAGGGCCAGGCGACGGTTTTGGGGGAGAAGGAGATTGGGGCTAGGGTTTTCGGGGATAGGGCTGGTTTTTCGGGGGAGGGGAGATCGGGGTTGGCGCGGCGAGTGGAGGGGGAGGTGCGGCGAGTGGTGGAGGAGGAGGTGCGGCGGTGTATGGAAATGGTGGGAAGTGAAAATTTGATGAAATGTGTGGTGGTTGTGGTGATGGTGGTATGGTGGAGGAATGATTCCCTTTGTTTTAAAAACAAACTACAAAGCAAAAATAGGGTATTTTCATTCCATTCTTCTCCTTTCCCTTTGTTCATTCCATTCTGATTCCCTCGTGCGAACCAAACGACCCCTAAATATAGAACTTATTTTTTTGAATCGCAACAACAAAAATTATGAATATAAATTTTAATATTATGAACAAGATTATCAAACATTGTATTTTTTTTAAAAACAAACCTTATTTGTTTTCTCTGGTACATCGAGAAAAGCCCTTTGAATTTAGATTCTTGGTAACACGGCTCCTAATCCATAATCCTTCTTCTCCAACTTCATTCTCTCATTCACCATGTCCTTGTTCCAAACAATAATCAGTGGTGGAGTTCTTGGTGTTACAATACCTGTGTTTTTGTCCCTTGGGAGACTTACGTTACAAAGTCTGGTCCGGCGTGAGCTGTACCTGCAAAACAACGGAGACTCCGACTAGTTGGAGCTCCGCCTCCGACGATCAAATTAGTAACTTGAAAAGGAGTAAAAAGGTGCGGAAATTTAGGTGGGTATCTTCTCGGATTCCAAGCTCAAGATGTCTCTATCAAAGAGTAATTGTGTAATAAATGGTAAAACGTGTCCTCCAAATGGAGGGAATCTCCCTATTTATAGGGTCCTCGGGAATTGTGCCCCTAATTAGGTCATCGAGCCCAAATCATTCGTGGGCTACGCCGCATTGTGGCTTTCTCGGGATTTGGGCCATGAAGGCCGCCTTTTTCCCATTTCTTTGGGATGCCACGTGTCAAGTAGGGGTTGGTCCATTTTTTATTAACCCTAGGATGACACGTTGTAGACACCCATTTGTGTCTCCCCAAAACCAAATCCAGTGATGAGTACCTTTCACGTC